GTGTAGTTTGTGTGTGTGTTATAGGTGTGTAGTTTGTGTGTGTGTTATAGGTGTGTAGTTTGTGTGTGTGTTATAGGTGTGTAGTTGTGTGTGTGTGTGTTATAGGTGTGTAGTTTGTGTGTTATAGGTGTGTGTGTGTGTGTGTTATAGGTGTGTAGTTGTGTGTGTGTGTGTGTTATAGGTGTGTTGTGTGTGTGTTATAGGTGCGTAGTTTGTGTGTGTGTGTTATAGGTGCGTAGTTTGTGTGTGTGTGTTATAGGTGCGTAGTTTGGTGTGTGTTATAGGTGTGTATTTGTGTGTGTGTGTTATAGGTGTGTAGTTTGTGTGTGTGTTGTATGTTAGTTTTGTGTGTGTTATAGGTGTGTAGTTTGTGTGTGTGTGTTATAGGTGTGTAGTGTGTGTGTGTTATAGGTGTGTAGTTTGGGTGTTGTGTTATAGGTGTGTAGTTTGTGTGTGTGTGTGTTATAGGTGTGTAGTTTGTGTGTGTGTGTGTGTGTGTATAGGTGTGTAGTTTGTGTGTGTGTGTGTGTGTGTTATAGGTGTGTAGTTTGTGTGTGTGTGTAGTTTGTGTGTGTCATAGGTGTGTAGTTTGTGTGTGTGTGTGTTATAGGTGTCTAGTTTGTGTGTGTGTGTGTTGTAGGTGTGTAGTTTGTGTGTGTGTTATAGGTGTGTAGTTTGTGTGTGTGTGTTATAGGTGTGTAGTGTGTGTGTGTGTTATAGGTGTGTAGTTTGTGTGTGTGTAGTTTGTGTGTTATAGGTGTGTAGTTGGTGTGTGTGTTATAGGTGTGTAGTTTGTGTGTGTGTGTGTTATAGGTGTGTAGTTTGTGTGTGTGTGTGTGTGTGTTATAGGTGTGTAGTTTGGTGTGTGTGTGTGTGTGTTATAGGTGTGTAGTTTGTGTGTGTGTGTAGTTTGTGTGTGTCATAGGTGTGTAGTTTGTGTGTGTGTGTGTTATAGGTGTCTAGTTTGTGTGTGTGTGTGTTATAGGTGTGTAGTTTGTGTGTGTGTGTGTGTGTGTGTGTGTAGTTTGTGTGTGTGTGTGTGTGTGTTATAGGTGCGTAGTTTGTGTGTAGGTGTGTAGTTGTGTGTGTGTTATAGGTGTGTAGTTGTGTGTGTGTTATAGGTGTGTAGTTTGTGTGTGTGTTATAGGTGTGTAATTGTTTGTGCGTGTGTAGTTGGTGTGTTGATTGTGTTTTTGTGTGTGTCCACAGAGGAGAAGACAACAGGACGTCGTCGATCCACAACCAGGAGAAAATCCAACACAAACCCTGACCCCGACCTGCTCCGCCTCAGTCCAGAACCTGAACCTCACCCTGACCCCGACCTGCTCCGCCTCAGTCCAGAACCTGAACCTCACCCTGACCCCGACCTGCTCCGCCTCAGTCCAGAACCTGAACCTCACCCTGACCCCGACCTGCTCCGCCTCAGTCCAGAACCTGAACCTCACCCTGACCCCGACCTGCTCCGCCTCAGTCCAGAACCTGAACCTCACCCTGACCCCGACCTGCTCCGCCTCAGTCCAGAACCTGAACCTCACCCTGACCCCGACCTGCTCCGCCTCAGTCCAGAACCTGAACCTCACCCTGACCCCGACCTGCTCCGCCTAAGTCCAGAAACTGAACATGAAACTCACCCTGACCCCCCAGTCCCAAAATCCAGCCAAGAACTTTGTCCCAGTGCTGAGGCTCCTGGCCTGCCCCCCGCACCCAGCCCCCCACCAGCCTCCAGTCCTGGGGAGGAACCTCGAGCCATCACTTCCCCATCACAGTCTGAAAACCACAGCCCCACCCCTAGCCCCGCCTTGAGTCCCATACCAGCCCTGGATCCCGATGAGGAGGACCGGCCCTGCTCCAGCCCTGCTCCCATGGAAGTGGACTGCAGCCCCAGCCCTGTTCCTATGGAGACAGAAGGGGGCGGGGCTAGTCCCATGGAGCAGAGCCCCGCCCTGAGTCCGTGTTCAAGTCCTCTGGTCTCCCCATGCCTACAACTGGAGGAGGAGGACTCGCTGTCCCCTCTTTTCAAGAGGTGTCTGTCAGAGGACTCGGGTGGCTCGCCCACCCCCAGCCTGGGACACACCGAAAAACGGTAAGACTGTGTGTGCGTGTGCGTGGCTGATAAAAGGTTCAGAACTGGACTAAGGTCCAAATTGGAATCCGGTTCAGGTCACAGGAGGAACTGCAGCCTTAAGGGACTTCCTGTTTGCTTCTTTAAAAATAAAAAAATTCTTAACAATTCTATAACAATGACCTTCTCTCTCTCTCTGTCTCTCGCTCGCCCACCCTGCAGGTTGAAGCAGTGTGCCTTCTGTTACCTCGGCAACGAGCCTCCTCTTGGTCAGGGTCGCCTGGTGGTCTTCGGCCCGACGCCGGGTTACATCCCGCTCCACGTCCTCAACAACCGCGCCTCGCCCGACCGAGACAACGACTGCCACGACCACTGCTACCGCGGCGACCAGGTCCTGCCCACGTGAGTGACATCACTTCCTGTCAATGTGGTCTCAAATTTGAAAATCACAATTGAGTCGAGGAAGAAGAAGCTGTTTCAGACGGTTAAGTTGAGTTTGTTTGTGTGTGTTGTAGGAGCTGCAGTCCAGAACAGAGCGGTGAGTACACAAAGGGTTAATGTGTTCAGAACCTTGTTTTATATCGGTTACCTGTGGGGATGACAGAGGTGCTCTGGTGCCGACCAAAAACCAGGTTTGGTTCGCTGTAGGTGAGAATGAGATCTGAACCAAAAAGAAGCAGTGCATTGTGGGTTTGCAGAGCATGGCTAATGTTAGCAGACATATAACTTTATCTCCATTTTCTAGATCTAAAACAAAACGTATTCTTTCTGAACGTCAGTCTGTGAATGATTCTGTTGATCCCCTGCTCGCTGACCTGCTGCGCTCTGATCACGTGTTTCAGCAGGCGACGAGTCTTCAGAGTTTTTGGAGCAGCTCGGTCCCATCGGCCTCCCACATGACATCAACGTCCAATCCCTGTTCGACCCCACAGGTACAGGAAGCTCCTCCCACCTTTAACTCCCTTTGCCCGTGTCAGTCCTGTTAGGTCAACGTGTGTGTGTGTGTGTGTGTGTGTGTGTGTGTGTAGGTCAGTGCTGTGCTCACCTGCAGTGTGCCGCCTGGTCCGAGGGGGTGTGTCGTGGCGAGGGCGAATCGCTGCTCTACGTGGACAAAGCCATCGACTCAGGAAGCACACAGGTGGGTTTATGTTTTATCTGATATCAATAACTACACAAATTCAGGATTAATACAGCCCCAACTAAGCCCCGCCCACCCTCTCACCTGTCCAGGTGTGTGCATTCTGTTGTCGGCTCGGAGCATCGCTGCGTTGCCGGGAGACGGGCTGTGGGAGGAGCTACCACTTCCCCTGTGCCGCTGTTGCTGGAGCTCACCAAGACTGGAGCCAGAGACACACACAGTGTTCCCGACACACACACACAGGTACACACTCTCTCACACTCAGGTACACACTCTCTCACACACAGGTACACACTCTCTCACACTCAGGTACACACTCTCTCACACTCAGGTACACACTCTCTCACACACAGGTACACACTCTCTCACACACAGGTACACACTCTCTCTCACACACAGGTACACTCTCTCTCTCTCTCTCTCTCTCTCTCTCTCTCTCTCTCTCACACACACAGGTACACTCTCTCTCTCTCACAGGTACACACTCTCTCTCACACACACACAGGTACACACTCTCTCTCACACACAGGTACACACTCTCACACACAGGTACACTCTCTCTCTCTCTCACACTCAGGTACACTCTCTCTCACACACAGGTACACTCTGTCTCTCTCACAGGTACACACTCTCTCTCACACACACACAGGTACACACTCTCTCTCTCACAGGTACACACTCTCTCTCACACACACACAGGTACACACTCTCTCTCTCACACACAGTACACTCTCTCTCTCACACACAGGTACACTCTCTCTCTCTCTCACAGGTACACACTCTCTCTCACACACACACAGGTACACACTCTCTCTCACACACGCACAGGTACACTCTGTCTCTCTCACACACAGGTACACACTCTGTTTCGTGTGGTGTGACGTCAGAAGGTCAATGTGTGAATGAGAACATGAGGGAAAACTTTAGGATGATGTTCGGTTACATTTTTTTTTTTCTCTCTGTCTCTCTGTCTCTCTGTCTCTCTCTGTCTCTCTGTCTCTCTGTCTCTCTCTCTCTCTCTCTCTCTCTCTCTCTGTCTCTCTCTCTCTCTCTGTCTCTCTCTGTCTCTCTCTCTCTCTCTCTCTGTCTCTCTCTCTCTGTCTCTCTCTCTCTGTCTCTCTCTCTCTCTCTGTCTCTCTCTCTGTCTCTCTCTCTGTCTCGCTCCCCTCTCTCCGTCGCTCTCTCTCTCTCTCCCCCCTCTCTCCGTCGCTCTCTCTCTCCCCCTCTCTCCGTCGCTCTCTCTCTCCCCCTCTCTCCGTCGCTCTCTCTCTCTCTTTTGTCCCCCCTTTCCGTCTCTCTCTCCCTTTCTCTCTCTCTCTGTCTCTCTCTCTCGCTCGCTCTCTCTCTTTTGCCCCCCCCCCTCTCTCTCCCTTTCTCTCTCTCTTGCTCTCTCTCTTTTGCCCCCCCCCCTCTCTCTCTCTACAGGGTCTTCTCAGTGTGTGTTGTGTTTGGACGGCGGTGATGTCGGGGATCTGTTGATGTGTTGTTGCTGTGGAAACTGTTACCATGGCAGTTGCCTGGACCCCCCTCTCACCCCCTCCCTCCTGTGCCGGGCAGGATGGCAGTGTCCTCAGTGTCGAGTGTGTCAGAGTTGCAGGTAACACATAAAACACACTACATAATTATTTCTACTTTGGTTTGTTCTGTCAATGACTAGATCACTAAACGTATTGTGTGTGTGTGTGTGTGTGTGCGTGTGTCAGGCTGCGAGGGGATGACGTTGTGTTGCTGGTGTGTGAACGCTGTGATAAAGCGTACCACACACACTGCCTCACACCATCTCTCGATCACACGCCGAGCGCTGGCTGGAGCTGCAGGGTGAGACAGAAACACTCCTTGTTGAACACATTTTTATTATTGTGTGTGTGTGTGTGTGTAGTTAACACCTCTCTCTCTCATCCAGAACTGCAGAATCTGCCGCTGCTGTGGTGTAAGGTCTTCAGGCCAGTGGGCAAATCACCCGTTCCTGTGCGAGTCATGTGACCCGGCCCTGCCCTGCCCTCTCTGTGACCAAGCCCCTGACCTCTACACACCACAGGACTATCTGACTTGTATCAGCTGCTATAGGTACACACACATATTGATCCTTATATAACATAGTTGAATTAATAGATACTGCATTTGAGGTGAGTATCAATCTGCGTTACTTTTCTGACTTGTTATTTTTTCTGTTATTAATCAGTCTAAATGAAATCTTTCAGGTGTGTCCACACGGCGTGCATTGTCCAGGCGGGGAAGGGCAGGGCGGGGTCAGAAGATTACGTCTGCTCCACCTGCAGGCCTCAGGAGGAGGAACTAATCGCGCACACTCCAACCCCACACAGTCCTGCCCTGGCTGTGCAAAGCCCCACACAGGCACCAACAATAAGCATTTCACAGCCATCAAGTCCAAGTCACACAGAGGCTCCACCCATCACATGTACTGCTCACAGCCCGGTCCGACTCACCTGTTCAGGGTCCCCACAGAGTCCCACCAAGACCTTCTGTGAACAAATGCAACAAAGCCCTACCCCATCCCATCCTGAGCCCCCTCTTAGTCCTGAGCCATCTCACCCTGATCCCAAAGAGGTGCACCAAAGTCCTGCTTCAACCCAAGCTGATCAAACAGCACCCTCACTGACTCCTGCAGGATCCTTTCCTGATCAAACAGAGCTTCCAGAGAGTTCAGCACCATCTCACCCAGATCCCACAGAACTCCATGAAAGTCCTGCATCATATCAACCTGATCATACAGAGCTCCAACACAGTCCTCCACCATCTCAGCCTGATTCCACAGACCTCAAAGAGGGACATGGCCCACCTCCCACAGAGTCCTCGGAAGTCCCATCATATACTCATTCTCATCGAAAAGAGCTGCACCTATGTCCATCCTCACTTTGTCCTGATCCAAAAAAACTTGAAACATGCCCCTCACCAGCTCCCCTGCAGACTGACCAGCTCCAACAAAGTTCTGCCCAATTTCAATCAGATCCTGCAGAGCTCCAACAAAGTTCTGCCCAGTCTCACCCATATCCTGCAGAGCTCCAACAAAGTCCTGCCCAGTCTCACCCAGATGCTGCAGAGCTCCAACAAAGTCCTGCCCAGTCTCACCCAGATGCTGCAGAGCTCCAACAAAGTACTGAGGAATCTCATCCAGATCCTATGGAGCTCCAACAAAGTTCTGCCCAATCTCAATCAGATCCCTCAGAGCTCCAACAAAGTCCTGCCCAATCTCAGTCAGATCCCTCAGAGCTCCAACAAAGTCCTGCCCAGTCTCACCCAGATGCTGCAGAGCTCCAAAAAAGTCCTGCCCAGTCTCACCCAGATCCTGCAGAGCTCCAACAAAGTCCTGCCCAGTCTCACCCAGATCCTGCAGAGCTCCAACAAAGTCCTGAGGAATCTCATCCAGATCCTATGGAACTCCAACAAAGTTCTGCCCAATCTCAATCAGATCCCTCAGAGCTCCAACAAAGTCCTGCCCAGTCTCACCCAGATCCTGTAGAGCTCCATCAAAGTCCTGCCCAGTCTCACCCAGATCCTATGCAGCTCCAACAAAGTTCTGCCCAATCTCAATCAGATCCCTCAGAGCTCCAACAAAGTCCTGCCCAGTCTCAATCAGATCCCTCAGAGCTCCAACAAAGTCCTGCCCAGTCTCACCCAGATCCTGCAGAGCTCCAACAAAGTGCTGCCCAGTCTCACCCAGATCCTGCAGAGCTCCAACAAAGTCCTGCCCAGTCTCACCCAGATCCTGCAGAGCTCCTTAAAAGTCTTGAGGAATCTCATCCAGATCCTATGGAGCTCCAACAAAGTCCTGCCCAGTCTCACCCAGATCCTGCAGAGCTCCAACAAAGTCCTGCCCAGTCTCACCCAGATCCTGCAGAGCTCCAACAAAGTCCTGCCCAGTCTCACCCAGATCCTGCAGAGCTCCAACAAAGTCCTGCCCAGTCTCACCCAGATCCTGCAGAGTTCCAACAAAGTCCTGCCCAGTCTCACCCAGATCCTGCAGATTCCAACAAAGTCCTGCCCAATCTCACCCAGATCCTGCCCAGTCTAACCCAGATCCTGCAGAGCTCCAACAAAGTCCTGCCCAGTCTCACCCAGATCCTGCAGAGCTCCAACAAAGTCCTGCCCAGTCTAACCCAGATCCTGCAGAGCTCCAACAAAGTCCTGCCCAATCTCATCCAGATCCTATGGAGCTCCAACAAAGTCCTGCCAATTCGGAACTGGATCCTGCAGAGCTCCAACAAAATCCTGCCCAGTCTGACCTGGATCCTGCAGAGCTCCAACAAAGTCCTGCCCAGTCTCACCCAGATCCTGCAGAGCTCCAACAAAGTCCTGCCCAATCTCACCTGGATCATTCAAAGCTGCAGGAAACTCCTGGCCAATCTGACCTTGATGGTTCAGATTTCCAACAAAGTCCTTGCCAGTCTCACCCCGATCCTGCAGAGCTCCAACCAATTTCTGCCCAGTCTCACCCGGATCCTTCAGAGATTCAGGAAAGTCCCGGGACATCTCTATCTAATTCAACAGAACCCCCACAAAGTCCTGTCTATTCTAAACCTGACCCAACAGGGCTTAAGGAAAATTCTGGGATGCCTAATTATGACCCAACAGATCTACCAGAAAGTCCTGCGCCATCTCATCCTGACTCCACAGGGCTTCAGGAAACCTTTGGGCTCCTTAACCCTGATACTGAGGTACAACAGGAAAGCCACATCTCACCTCACCTGAGTCTAGCAGAGCTTCCGCAATGCCCCACAAATTCCGACTCTAGTTCAGCAGAACTACCAAAAAGTCCTTTGCCTTGCCCTCCTAGTCCTTCTGAACTGCAACAAAACTCTCCTCATGTGACTTCAACACAGGATCAGCAAAGTCCTGGCCACATCAGTTGCACTTCCTTGAGCCCTTCCCACAGTTCCACACAGGATCAGCTTAAAGCCGCAGAGCCTGAGCTGAGTCCCACACTGGATAGCCATACACATTCCCAGCACAGTTTGAACCAGGCAGGTCTTAGTCCCGTCCACGTTGAGACGGTGCCTGTAGAGCCACAAAAGATCTCCCCACCACAGAGTCCTGTGCAGGACAATGCTCCACAAACCCAGCTAGACAGCCCATGTAGTTCTACTCACATCATCACCACAGAGCCTCAGCACGGCCCCCCACCATCACTTACCAGTTCTACAACAGATAGCCCCGCACAAGCTGGCACATCTCAGACACACAGTCCCACACAGGATACTGAACCTACACTGGACCAGAAGAGCCCTGGATTGAGCGACCCTGCTCAACTAAGTCCTGGGACTACCCAGGACATTTCTACACTGGACCAGGACCTCTTACCAGTCGACTGTAGGTTTACTAAGGGAGCAAGAAGGCGTGCCTCATTGAGTCCTGTTTCGGCACCATGTAGCCCATCACAGTCCCCACTCAGAACTGCAAGGTGTAGTCTGTCACAACCTGCAATCCCATCACAGGCCCGATCCTCACAGCCTGACAGGCCTTCACATCTTAGCCTTCTTCCCTCTCAGCTTGCTACAGAGACAACAGTTGCAAAGGAATGCATCCCAACCAGTACCACAGAACTGCAGTATTTGGAGCATAGCACCTTGCAGCTGAGTCCAAACCCTGAAGGCAAAACACTGGAAAATAGCCCTGCTCATCTTAGCCCCACCTCCATCCTGTCCATGGTGTCCCCTGAGGTCCACAGCACCGATGGTAAACTCCAAAATATTCCTAGCCCTACTCAGTGTACCATCCACAGTCCAGATCATTCTACCCGCATTTGTGTGCCAGTCACACCCACACCAGAAAGCCTTGTTCACATTAGCACTTCAACAGAACACAGTAGCCTAACATGCATTCCTTCTGCTGATGAGATGAAGGGAATATCTCCCCGAGCTAGCCCCATGCATCAGAGTCCTTCTCGTGACAGAACATCACTCTGCACAGAAGCTAATGAAGGTAGCCCCATACATATCCAAGAAAGCTCGGCTGATGCTAGCCCCACCCATGCCAGTAAGATGCCTACAAGCCCTGCTAGCTCTTTTCAGGCCTGTTCTAGCCTCATGTTTGTGGAGACTAGCCCTGTCCCGGTCAACCCTGTAGCTGCAGAGACAAGCCCTTCATTAAAATCAGCTAGCCCCTCAACCACACTGGTGGGACCCACACACCCATCTCAGGAGTCTGAGGAAGCTGTGGACAATGGTAGTCCCTTTATTCTGTCAGAAACTTGTTCTGGTCATCCTCAATCAACTCCAGACATCCCAGTTCAATTTAGCCCTACTCATGTAAGCCCAGTCTACACAGAAGCTGATAGTAGCCAC